AGGAGGTACATGGCGTCGCATGGGCAGCAAGATGCCGTGCAAGCGCTCTGGGCGCTCGAACGCCGTATGACGCCGCTGCTACTGTCGAACAAGGCGGCAAGCAAAACTCGCGGACTACTTTGCCCCTAAATAAATGCCATTTTCGGTGAGTTTTCATACCCGTAAAATGTGTCGGAATTTTTTTTTTTTGCATGCTAAAGCCAAATTTTGATTTAGCGAAATTTCAATGTAACGAAGTAAATTGCGAATTTTACCGACTTCGTTACATCGAGGTTTAACTGTATTAAACTCTTCGTTTTTCAGAGAAATGAAATGCACTTTGCTTCCAATTGCACCCGCTTCTGTAACTTCATGGTATGAAGCACCTTACGGCTGCAAGCTCTGATTGATCTTGTTCTCTGGTCTGCGCAGGCCCATATCAGGGAGTCGCTCCGAGAGCCTCACCAAAGTTTCCTGCCCGTGGTCGTTCTAAATTTTTTTTGTTGTAGGTATGCATCCTTTCTGTCTTTCCCTTAATTGTACTCAAACGTCTTCTTTTCATTGTCGCCGATTTGCCTCAAAATTGGTTAAGCACACAAATGGACGCTGTACAACTGTATTATACATATTTTGTTCAAGGTAACTTTTCTTTGCCACAGTTACAGATTTTTTTATGAAGGTTAGTCTTTTTTGTTTTTATTTACAAATTTATGTGAGTTTCCATGGGCAACACTAAAACGTTATGCCAGGAGCAAGGAGTTCACTGCTGTAATTTGTTCTCAACTGATTGCAAGAAATTTCGTTAATGTCGTGAAACCTCCTTCCAGCGCTTGCTTTGCAGCATAAAAAAAAATTATACGTAGGACATACTCTGTTTTTTAAACTGCTTGCTCAATCTGCAGGTCTGCCTGCCATAGATGTCGTGCTACTGGAGAGCAGGCAAATTCGATTGCTGGTTTTGCCATTGCTTTTTTTTTTTTTTTAGCCGTTGTCTTAGTAGTTTTTGTAAATTTAGAGATTTTCCTAAAAAGCAAGCCGGGAAGAATATTTAGTTTAGTTAGGTAGCTGAAAGTAATGATTTAGTACCCCTTTGTCAGTAAAATAGATACTGTGTGCCGCTGTTAGTGTCAAGCCGAGATCCACGCTTTTTTGGCATTTTGCTCAGAGTAGTACCCATTCTTATTCGTTAGCCTCTTGGTGTGCCAACTAAACTCTTTGTATACAGACACCTGCCCTCTGCTGGTACACTCTACCCTCGTGTTCAGCGAGTGTATGAACTGGAGTTGTATCCACAGTCGACACTCGCTGAGCACGAGGGTAGGAAAATCTTTCCATTGCAGCAGAGCCATATATGGGGAGAGTCTGGCAGTCTATGATTTCGCTGCCGTAACGTCTTCCTTCCGAGTGAGCTGATCAGCCCGCGGCACAGAGCAAGAGGCGTGAGCTCATGCGCGTGAACTCTAGGCTGCTCCCAGCTGAGCGGGGAGGGCCGCCATTTTCATTCATTCGCCCGGCATGGGATCGATATTCAAATTTCGGTTCTTTCCTTTTATTTGGCAGGCTCTGGCAATAAAATGATATAGTGTTATTCCTCGGTGGCTTAAAAACCTAAAAAAAGAAGTTCCTCTATGTTTGAACGCACTTTTATTTAGACAAAAAAAAAAAATAAGCCCGTAGCAGACGACTCATAGCCTCAACAGTGCTCCGTGCCGACAGCTTTGCGTCAAAATGGCGGTCATCTCTTTGCCTCTTTGCTGCCTTCTCTATCCCTCCTTCGGCGTTCTCCTCCCTTTCCTCCTCTCCGGCGCCTTCGTTGCCACACCCGCTGGCTAAACTCCCCCACTATACGGCTTTGCATTGCAGTAGTAGTTTTATTTGTAGTCTTTACAGTTGAATGTGAATATTTGACAGAAGTCTCTCAGGTTGGGGCGAAAGGGGGTTAAATGAATGCATTTGATCATTCGCCTAAATTCGGTACCCATCATTTTAACGCCTACGTAGCCTTGTCCTGGTGGGTGACTATGACTAAAATAAGAGGATCTATGTGCTGATCACAAAAGAATATGCTAGCCATTCTAATGTAGCTCTGCCAAGTACTTGATTGTGATTTGTTTTTATTTTCAGCTACTTGGGTGCCTCGAGATCTGGAGATCCTAGTGGCCACAAGCTTGGACTCAATCTTTTTCTGTGGTCTGGCCAGGACCATGGGGGAGGTAATCCCAGCAACGAGAGCATCGCAGTATCTCCCTGCCTGTGACTTTCGATCAGCGTCACGACAGGGGAGTCCTCGTGCCACCAGGTGTTAGGTATGCCACTTGAAATAAGCATTTTTCTTACCTATTAATAGAACAGCAAAAGCACTACTAAGCCTAAAATGCAAAAAAATCATATTCAAATCTTGGGTTGGATGAAATTCCAATTACAAAAAGGAGTCTGCAGACATGATTATCATGTGAACTTAAAGCCCGCAGATGTAGGTTCGACGGTGTCACAGAAATAACTTCTCGCAGATCGCCTTGCTCGTGCTATACCCAAACAAATTCTTAAAATAATCATTGTGTTTCGTTGGTGTCATCAATCTTATGTCCCTACCACACCCACCAGTCGGGACATGTGAAATATAGAAAAACAGGAACTTGCACATTGTCAGCTCTGCAAAGATTTATATAGTAAACAGAGCATAGCACGTTCAGCTTAAGAAAAAAAATTTAGTGCAGGCCTATATTCATGGTTCAGATATGTGTGATTGCTCTTTATAATGAAGTGAAAACTGCTTAAGTTGTGGCCCACTACAGGCTTTCTATTAGTGTTAAAAAGTGCGGTAGAAAACATGATTGTGCTTGGAAGACGGGGACATAGGAAGGACAGACACAACAGAGCGCTAACTTTCAACTGATTTAATTCAAGAACCTCAGCGTAGAAACGGACTGTGTCACCGCACCACATCTCAACCAATCCGTGGCCCTGCCACGGATTGGTTGAGATGTGGTGCGGTGACGCATTGTGTTTCTACGCTGAGGTTCTTGAATTAAATCAGTTGAAAGTTAGCACTCTGTGGTGTCTGTCCTTCCTATGTCCCCGTCTTCAAAGCACAATCATGTTTTCTAACGTAGTCAGCACTTGTTAAAAAGTGCTATTGTGTTTTAAGCAGCTCGTACCAAATATTTTCTTGAAATACATTGGTTCATGGAAATTATTATGTAGATGTTGGCAGACAGTCATGGTGAGGTCAATCTTTAATGCCAAGTGGTCCACTTATTCAGAGTTAATAGGGGCTTCCCAAAAGTAAGCGCCTCTGGTGCCAAACGCGCGAACTACACAAAATCCGCCATTACTACGGCGTCGGTTTTTCGTACCGTTCGGCTAGTGCTTAATCGGTGCGATGCCGACTCACTGCTGCGTCCCCCTATGCAGCCAAAGAGGACCGAAAGATGAACAAGGAAACAAGGTAAGTCACTGTTGTGAAGTTGCATGCCAACAATACTGTGAATAATATAAATTGGGTGAGGCAGATCCGCGCGGAAGAGGCAGCCTTCATCCGTGCGCACGGGGGGACGAGCTTCACTAGGACTAGGACGCTAATGGCCCAACAAATCAAGATCAATCTTCCTACGTTGCACGTTTAGTTGCGCTGCTCGATCTCGTCTGTGTCAACGCTTTCGAAAGAATTTTACGCGTGTGCGGCGCTTCGTAGTCGCAAGTATTCATGACGAAAAGATAATCGTGACAGGATAACTCGCGTGCACGGAACATTGTATTGAAATATGTTTGAACTGCACGTCTGATCTTGCGTAAGGCAAACATAACTGTGCGTATTCGAAAAACTTCGGCGAGCACCCAGAGTTGATTTGCGACAACGTTTTGTGGTGCGAAGTTCGATCGAAGGCATGAACATGAGCGTTGTTTTCACAAAATACGTTGTCCGCACAAGCACTCACGCTAGGACTGCTCGCGCCCGTGCTTGTTACGCCACACCCCTGAATTTATTGTTGGTATGCTTCACGGTGCGTAAGCATGCTTCAGGATCCTCACCTAAAGGTAGAAACTAAAATAATCTGTTCTATCCGGGGCAACATTCTTTGGTAAGGTGCACATTGATAGTTTTCAACACTGCTTGAAGACTAGAAGAGACTCCTAGCATAGAGCCCCCTCGGTCACAACTATATGACACTGCATGCCACAGTTACACACAAGTCATGTGTGTGTGCCATTATATAACACTAAAGTAATTCAAACATACGCACAGGCAGGATGGGAAACATGACTTTATTAAGCACTTTCAGCAGCTTGCTTTTTGTGACAAGTAGAACAGTGATACAAGCTAATGTCTCACATTATTTCACTCGCAGGTTGCCTACTTCGGTTTTCCAAAGGATAAGGAGCAGTTCAAAAGGTGGATTATTGCAATAAGGAGAGATGAGGGAAAGCATTTTAAGGTGACCCAGTCGACAAAAGTGTGTTCTAAACACTTCAGGGACGGAGACTTCTTTCCAGGCTACGTGAATGGCAGGAAATTTTTAAAGGAAGGGATTGTGCCCAGCACATTCAGATTCTCAGCTCAGAAAGTGCCAAGAAGAAAACTTCAGAGGCACAACGCTCAACCAGTGAACAACCGCAGCCCCGTCGACATGAGAGCTGCTCTCGCACATGACGAGAACGACATCACAACAGCTTCTGGAAGCGAGCCCCCACCAGATCCAGAGATATCCGTGCTGGTAGCCACACTTCAAAGGCAAGTTGCCAAACAAGCTGCACATGTGAGCAAGCTTGCGTCTGATCTTCAGGAGGTTCAAAAAGAGCTTGCCGAAGCCAAAAATGAAGTCGTAAAGTTGACAAGGCACATTGAACTTCTAGAAGAATCAAACAAGAAAATGGAAGAGAAACTGAGCCGGAAGTTTTCTATAGAATGTTTTAAGGACAGCCCTAAGGATGTGCAGTTCTATACAGGACTGCCAAACTACGATGCCTACCTTGACCTACTACGGTATGTGAATCCTGGAATCAATGGGGAAAACATCAAAATGTGGTCAACCTCTTACTCTCTGGGTAGTAAACTAGGGCGGCCACGAAGCTTGCACCCTCACGACGAACTGTTCCTAATATTGGTTCGCCTTCGGCTAGGCCTCCTCGAGAAGGACTTGGCGTTCAGATTTGGGATTTCGACCTCTACAGTGTCACGACTCTGCATCACATGGATTAGCTATCTCTATCAGCACCTGTCACGACTTCCCCTGTGGGCGACACGGCAGCAAGTGGACGAGGATATGCCACCTGCTTTTACAGAGCAGTACCGAACAACAAGGGTGATCCTCGATGCAACAGAGGTCAAGTGTCAAGTTCCGACCAGCCTCGTACTTCAGTCTGCAAGTTTTTCGACATACAAGTCGTCAAACACCTTTAAGGGACTTGTCGGGATATCCCCAGATGGAACTGTGACATTCGTGTCGCAGCTCTTTCTGGGGTCAATGTCAGACAAAGAATGCGTACGACAGAGCGGATTCCTGGCACTCCCCTTCGATGAGAATGACTCGGTAATGGCTGATAAAGGATTTCTGATTTCTGAGCTCCTGGGGGACATCAATGTAAGGCTCAATATCCCCCCGTTCCTTGGCCAGGGGACATTCACAGAGAGCCAAGTTAAGGAAACTGAGAAGATTGCATCACTGCGTATACACGTTGAAAGGAGAATACAGCGAATCAAGAGCTTCCATATTTTTGATCGAGCCATCCCTCTCTCACTCGGCCCAGTAGCAAGTGAGATATGGACCATCTGTACAATTCTGACGAACCTTCAGAGCCCCCTGTTACGCCAGCATGAAGATGGAAGCAGGGACGCAGATTAGCTGCGTGTCTTTTGCGTTACTTGTGCATACGTGTTTAAGGACATTGGCAGTTATGCCAGATAATAAAGCTTTCCTTCAACTTGTTTGTGCGTGTTTTACATACAACTTCTATCAACTCTGGAACACAGCACAGCAGAGTGAGTGTGAATACAAGAATGTAGCTTTTCACATTTTAGTCATTAAGCCTAGTGTCGAGCATATGTTACCGCCTAGGTTAGAGCGCTGTATATGTGCATTTCACTACACTGGTATTTAGACCAAGATTTTAAATCTGAAAGACAAGGAGAACAGGTAATCAATTTTTTCATGCTCAGTAAGCTTAGCCATACTTGTTACCCTCATATCAGCTCGTAATTTTGAATGTGGACATAGCTCATAACACCCTGGTGCAATGTTCTATAGACAGGCACAGGCTAAGCATGTGCCAGAGCCTCTGCCTCCAGTGCGAGCGTTCTACCTTGGCACTGTGTTGCGTCAACTTCAAGCGTGCAGCTGAAACACTACGAGGGGTAACGAGCACACGTGTTAAGCTTCTGGTTCATTCTTAACCTGTTCCCAAGGCTGTTTTCAATCAAAGGTGTTGAGGCAAGAAAAAGCAGACTGCATGTGGTGCTGCTGTCGACTACTGGAGCTTTGCACAAAGAAGTGTCTCTGTTAAGAATGCGCAAAGCAAGTCCTTTTAATGATAGCGTTCGAGCTATATTCGAATCTCGGCCGCTGGGCACCCCAGTCTTCCCACGCTTCCCTTGAGCAGTCTCAACCGAGATGCTGCTTCGAGCAAGCCGGCCCTGAAGGATAAAGCGGCTGCAGTTGGTGGCCTGCTGTGTACCACATCGGCCCCTTAAACAAAACAAACTGCAAGCGTCAAGCCCCCATCCTTATCCGTTTTGAGAACCTCGCAGAAGGAAAATTGTATTTATGACCTAGAACCCCTTTTAGAACACTAACCCTGGTAACTGACAACTTTATTTGTTTCATTTGCTATAAAGTTGATACTCCTTTTCCAAACAAGGGCAGTTTGTTAGTGACATAGACACAAGTGCTGAACTCTCAGCTAAACATTTATTGGAAACACGCCACTGCACTATAGTCGCAGAAAAGGGTAAGGATAAGAGCAAATGCCACATGAAACATAAGAATAAGTGATTGTGCAGTTGCCATGGTTCACGTGGTTTCACTGACCTCTGGAGTGGTTTACATCGGGCAAACAAGTTTGAGTGAAAATGAAAGGATGCACAAGAACGACTGATCGCTTCGATCCATGACAGGGGCGTATAGTTCACAAATGTCATCCCGTTTTCAAAAGCATCACAGTCATTGAAAGCAGAACAGACGCAACAGTCAAAATTGTTAAAAGTCGACGCAAAAAAGGCGTGCGTAGATAACTCTGTTGACCAGACTTATGCTCATTTACATAGAAAAGACATTGCATTCTTGCACATATGTTGCATTCAACATGATTCCCCACTTGCCCCCTTGTTCCGTCTACTTCATTTCACTAGACTTCATCTTTCTTGCGTGATGTGTACATTTATCTTTTGATAACAAAAAAGAAGCCCTCTCATAAATCTTGTTGACATCTGCAAGTGTTCAGTAACAATTAAGTTCCACATCATACAAGCTTCACAACCAGATTGCTTCACACGTCCTAAAGAAGATGGCCTTAATTTGAAAGTTTCTACTTTTTTTGTGAATTTTGACTGCAATATTATAAGACAGCCATTTGAACATATATATTAATTAACACTAAAATACAAGAGTACACAAATGAATGCAGCATGAAATGTCATATTAGTTGGACAATGTTCAATGAAGACATTCAGGCCACAAGTCGCATAAGTAAACAATTATGTGCGACTTTCGGACAGGTATGGCAGCAAAACAGAGAAGTAAAACTTGTCTAGTGTAGTTTTACATTCTAGCCACTTCTCTTGAGAAAAATAAATTCTCTCAACAATCAAAAACTTGTGGGAATAAACAACGAAATCCCCCCACAGCAGGCCAGAAAGCGCCATCTGACCCAGAATCTGGTAGTAATACCTATGTTCCCGGTTCAAGCGGTACACCCCTGAAGTATCCTTCACCATGTAAAAGTCTACCGCAGTCTCGAGGCCTCCATCCTTCAATGTATAAGGACATTTCACCTCGACAACCCCATGAGCAGTTGCTTCGGTCGGGTCCCATGTCGTCCTGTCAGGAGACGCTCCGAGCCAGGGGCAGTCAGGTTGAACAACAATGCCGCAGTGCGATGTCTGGATATCATGTCCCAAGACCCGCAAGGCACTCTCGTAACGTTGCACAGCCGCTGGCTCGTACTTGATACCGTGTCTATTGGGAAAAAAGATTAATGCGTAGGTGTCACAAACCACTGGTCTGGTAAAGGCGAGCGGGTTGAACATGAATACGTAAAATTGAAAGAATAAAACACGGAGGACAAGCACGGGACAACCATGAAAGAATGTGGTTGTCTCGTGCTTGTCCTACGTGTTTTATTCTTTCAATTTTATGTACGTGTCACAAACCAGCTGCCACAAAAGCATCAAAATAGGACTCCGCTATATATGAACACCTAACAGATCCTCATGCATTCCGAGCGACTTTAGTCACGCCAACTAACCAGTCACAGTCATCGCACGCATGGATCAGACATCTACATTGCAGGCCTGGATCATAGTCACAAAGTGGGCATTTCATTCTGGAGCTCTGACACATTGTGTGTGTCCGTCACCCCAAAGTATATGAAATTACTAGAATCGGTAACTTGCATCTGTTGACTGTGCACCGACTGTCGTCCTCTTTGTGCAAGTGTTGGTAACCAGACACTTTCTACTGTTTAGCTCTTGTACAAGTTTCTTTTTCTCACCATTCTCCTCTGTAATGCCTCTGTTCCCTACAGTACAGCAAATCAAATCAATAAATTGACGAAGGTAGCGCCAACAAAAGAAACTGAAACCAGAACCTTGCACTGTCGATACCCAGCATACACGTCGGCAGCTAGGGACAGCATAATATTGACATTATCGGGTGGAACACTGCTTGTTCTCTAGCTGGGAATATACAAATTACCTGACCGCACGGACGTGCGAGATGTCCTTGGTTGATGTCAGGTTGTTGAGGCCTTTTAAAGACCAGCTCTCGCGTGTTGCAACTTCCCCGAAGGATGACGCTGTCAGCCTGTTCCGTCGGGCTGCCCTCCATAGCGGACTCTTCGACTGCTGCCGTGTGTTTTTCTCCAAAACTGTGGCTTGAGTCGAAGTCACCAGCAGAGACTGCAAAAATAGCAGCCTTCGTAAGTTGTGAGAAGCAGTGAAGCCTTACAGGTGACATGAATCAATATTAGGAGTCATTTTTACATACTCTACACAAGCATACTGGCATAAGTGTGAAACGGGCATACTTGCAGCCAATACCACAGGGCCCGATACTTGTATGTAGCAGTGATTTTTACAGATAGAAGTGGATTATTTCTTCAGTCTCTCCTCGACTAAGCTTGCTGAGATCACCAAGACAATCTAAGTATTGTGCTGTAACTGAACTGCGCTTAACAATAATGGTACCTTGAGAAGCAGGTCCTGTTGCAAGGGAAAGTTGTGCCCGGAGGTATCCCAGGCCACGCCGGACTCAAAGAATGCCGGGTCAGAAGGCAGTGCAGTGGTCCTCCTTTGTACGAGGCTCAGTTCCGGGCTGATATATGTCTCATATCCAAATGGAACGAGTGAGTGCTGGTACGATAGGGGACTACCAACAGGAGCCAGGCCAAACCTCGTTTCGACAGAGTCCGCAGTGGCTTCTCGAAGGCGCTTGGCAAAGGGCGTGACATCACTTGAACAACGATCCGCACCAAGTTTTCGAATGGACAGCATTGTCTCATTCTGGTCCAACGGTTTTCTTCGCGCATCGTAAAGTTTTGAAGAGATGGGTACGTCACTGCCATCTTCTCGAACACTTCTCCAGTCGACAGACTGTAGGCTTGTCGATGCAACTGCCTCTCCCCGTGGGCGGCGCCACTGCTGGGGCAGCTCAGTACAGGCAACAACAGGCGGAGCTTCAGCATAGTCCTTAGCTCGCAGTAGAGCCAGAAGTTTCAGAAGGGCTAGTGAGTGATTACACACACCACTAGTTCCAGCGGCGCATTCGCAGCTTGCATTGCACACAAGTCCACTGTAGAGGATGCCACAAGAAACTTGGTACGGCCTTGAATTCTTCTTCTGGCTTCTAAAGCAGCTTGCCTTTACACATACTTTGGCGGTGGAACTGAAATAAATTTGAAAGAATCAAAATTAGAAAATCAGCATTCTTGTTTTACATATTTTTGTTGCATAGAATGTGTTCCGAGGAGACAGCCAGCATTCGGGCTTCTGCATTTTCACTGCCTCTGGCACTCAGCTGTGTGGAAGTTATGCCACCTTTCACCCTGTAATGGCATTATGCTGAGTTGTAAACAAAGAATATGTGATTACTCATGCTTAGAAATGTGCAATGCTTAGGGTTCAATCTAAGACGTTCACTAACCAGCTCGCCAGCATACTCTCACTTCTGACAGTATATGGTCGTATGCCCTACGTGCTTTTATTGATTCGGGAACCTTCATGGCGTACACGTCGATAGTTCATACAATGTGCCTAGGCCTGCAGCGTAATACATGATTGGCCGTCGCCGCGAAATCTAACGTGCCGGCAATGAGGACAAGACGAATGAATTAGACAGCTTGCACTGTGACTGGTAGAACAGCTAATCCACAGTATGGTACTATCGGAAACAATATGAGCGTCAAGGCGCCTCCGCGGCGACAAGCGGAGGCGCATTCACGCTCATATTGTTTCCGATAGTACATGGCGTGGAGTAGCGAAATCCACCGACACGACGCAACGAGCGACTCCCGTCTTGACTTGGCCCTTTAGCCCCGCCGAAGAACCACGTTACTGAGTTTCGCAACGTTACGTAAACCAAAAACAAACTCCGAAATAAAAAGTACAGCATTCCGTTCCCCCTGCTTCCATCTCAAGCGCAAGCGAAGTCGAAAGCGTAAGCGGGCAGCATGGTACCTTTAACGGCACTTGGACGGCACGACTGCGCACAAAGATCGCTTACGGCGTTTTGCTCGAACTCGTAGCTTTGGCTTCGCTCATACTTACGGCCAAACGGAGTATAGAGATAATATGATGCATGTCAAACTCCCAAGAAAAGAATAATGCTCACCTCGACACTCGAATCGACGACGGGTCTATGTAGGCTTCCGTCACGAACTTGTAGCTTCGTGCAGCCTGACGGCTCGACCTCAACCTGGACGTGCGGTACGATTCGACTTTATCTCCATCGAAGCTCTGCGGTATTTTCGATAGACTCGTGCTCCACGATGAAGCTCCTGGTTCTGTTGAACCGCTGTCAGCGGTTGGTCCACAGCCAGCTGCAGCCATCGCTTTCGTGGCGACGCCGTAGTAATGGGGTCGAGTAACTTTGCCAAGGTTGCTTGACTGACTTTCGGGAAGGGCCTATTGAGTTTGTAAATATTGTAGGTCGCAAATTAAATTTTTATGGTACGCAATGGGCACAATCATCCGTAATGACTAGCTCTACCTAGGGGAACTTCATACGTTTACTACGGCAAGATGGTTTCGAAAAACAAAGTATTTAGTTTATTCAACTCCTGCACTAACCTTGTCTTTAGAAACTTTTTATATTCTTTGCAATGCTGAGATAAGATTCTGGAAATAGTTTTTCTAGAACTACTCTAGATATTTCCAGTTCATCATTTTTCTCGCAAAGCATTCGAGAGAGCCAAACCCTCTAATGTATGGAGGGAACTCACAGAATGATGCGACTGACAGTTTGGAACATTCGGCACTGTAACAGTAATTATGACATGTCACTTATGTAATGCTCATTATCGCAGATCAAACTGCTTTTTCCGTCTACACTCATTTTCAGTAGACTCATTCAGCGAACTCCCACCTGAGACTGCAGCGCTGGGTTCTGCAAAGTAATTTGAATGAATATAGATGCAACAGGTTTCTTTGAGCGTGCATCTAACACACATTCTTCATATTGAATCTGCTAACTGTATTCATGACCATGTCCATAATTGTATCCACATTCCAGCTTATTTTTATTTTGACATTTGAGTTTTCTTCAGTACTTTTCTCAACATCTGTGCTTGCTGAGCCGTACTCAAGTCCATACATCTTGTCTTTCGCTATTACGTTAATATATAAAACTGTTGATGCCAAGTGAGAATTCAAGGTACCGAATCTGTCGTGAAAGCTAAATAAGAACCAATAAAAAGCTCTACAAAGGAAATTTGGTTAAAGGATGCTGTATGAGCATTAGAATAGTACATGCCATGCTAAAAAAGAAAATACAAATTCTTGTTAGGTATGCGAGGATGACAGTGCTATGCTGTTTCTGATGTGTCACAAAAAAAAAAAAAAGAAATCAGTGCCATACAGTGTTCCTTATGGAAGTACAAACTGTTGAATTCGAAGCCCAGAAGTTTTATTCAAGAATGTTCCTCAATACAAATGTATTTAGAGATCTGAGCTACTGACTCATACATGACTATGTGGCAAACATTCATTTTCATGTGGATTATAGTTTACAAGGTCTAGTCTGCATTGATTTATTGCATTCATGCTGAAACTGGGAGGGGTTCTCTGGGTATGAATAAAGAGATAAACATTTCTTGAAATCAAAACATTTGAGAACGGACAAACGGAAGGATCTGAGAACGGTATCTTAGATTCTCTTCTTTTTCTTACAGTATCTCTAATGTTCACTTTATTTCACCTGATGCATTTAGTTTTTAGCGCAGCTCTTAGCACCCGTTTCCGCGTTTTGCGGCGTCGCTGTCGGCGTAACCGCCCAACTAAACTTGGCAGGAAATTGAATTAATGTTGTGGTCATGTGACGTTAATATTTCCGCTAAGTCTAGCTGAGAAACTGAATTTTTTTATGGATGACGTGACACGGTCATGCGACGTCATTTTCCCCGCTACTTTTAGCGGAAAAACTGCATTTGTGTTGAGGTCATGTGACATCAATTTCTGCGCTAAATTTAGGGGGAAACTTAACCAGCTAAATTTAGTGGGGAAATTTTCCCGCTAAATTCAGGGAAATTTCCCGCTAAATGGGAGGGAGCAGAAGAGGAGGAGGGGAGGGGGAGGAGGGGCATACCCTCCCATCCTCCTCTTCAAGATCTGTGCTCTAATTTCACGTTACAGAGAATTGTAAACGTCTCATATTTCATCTCATGTTTATTCAACTTTTATATTGCAGGTGCGCTCGCAGCACAAATCTGGGTTGTGCTGATCCTCTACGCACAAGTTAGGAACTCCTGAGTGGCAAGAGTGGGAGTTTGGTCTGACAGCTCAAGGGACACCATTGTTCAGTATTGAATTTTTAATAATCTTCTTTTGAGCAAAGTTAAGCTTTGCTGCATGCAGTTCTTGTAAAAATAAATACCTGCAACCAAATTTACCAGGTCACGACATTTCGCCTCTGCTCTTAGTGCTCCTGGTGAGCCTCGGATAAGAGCTTACTGGTGTGCAAACATCATGCTTGTTTGAAACCACTCACTGATGTAGAGACTCGCTGACATCCAGCATTCCAATGAAATGCTGGATGTCCACAAGTCTTTCTTGAACAATGCAAGCGGGGAAGGAACCATACAATCGTATCGTATTGGGGGACATTCTACAGAGTGTTTTTTTCTATGTTTTACAGATTTTTTTAAAAAAAGCCGTAAAAGCTACATTTACACGGTCTGTGCACGTGAGTTATATGGCCAGGGCGGCATAGTATAAAAGGCTAATTTGTAATGATCCGTCGGCTTATTACAGAGATGTGCCAGACTTCTTTCAGAAAACTAGATGGAGGTTCATTCTAGCGTAGTTTTATCCCGCAAATCTGAATATCCCGTTCGTTTTCCTCAAAGATATAACTAAACGTCAGAAAACACACAAAAACATCCTACCAACAGTGACATCGTAAGGAGACCTTTCGGCCGCCAAGCGTGTGTCGCTTAAGGGCCGCTCGTCCAATCGCAAGTTTTCTAGGTATATTCTCCGGCATTGGCACCAGTCGTGACACATTTTTCTGCCCTTTTAAAAAATAGCATGTGCGTGCATAGCTTTGATAGGCGCTGAAGATGCGTGAACAAAGATTTTGAAAGCTGCTCTTGTGACGTCGCTCTCTAGGGAAGTGCTTTCACAGCGCTTTAAAAATGACTATGCAGCCTCGATTAATTAAATTAGCAAATAATTTTGATATTTGAGATTCTGGAGGTCGAATGAAGAAGATTTAAGTGTTTTCTCAAATAGAAAACTGCTTCAGCCTCTCTCTAAGTATAGTATGTTCGTGAAATTTTTAATCAGTTAAAATAGACCCATGGTTCCAATTAGAAACTTGCTAAGCATCATCAAAACACACTAAATCAATTTTCTTTGTAAAGATATAAGACAAGAGTAGCATTTTATGGCGTTCTAAAAAAAATGGTCAATTTGGACGCGTTTCCAGACTTCGGTTTCTTACCGAAGTTTCTTACCGAGCGCATCTTTGCACCTGCGGTCCAGCTGCCCAGTGGCCACAGTGCGAAGCCGCCCCCTCGCCTCCCTCGTAGGATGAAGGGAAGCAAGGCGCACGTGTGTTGCGTGTCTAAGCCCCTGGGGAACAGGACCGTGGGCGCAGAGATGAGCTCTGATAAGAAACTGAAACCTAGAAACTCATCCAAATAAAGCTTTTTACAGAACGCATAAAACGCTACCCCTGCATTATATCCTTCTAAAAAAACTTGATTTTGTGGTTTTCAATGACTCAGCAAGTTTCTAATTGAAACCGTATTTTCATTTTCACTAATTAAAAAGTTGATTAACAAATTGTATTTAATTATCTGACTTATCGTTACGACTAGGTCCCTATACTACGTACGCCTGGCCGTATAACTCGCCTGCACAAACCGCATTAATTTAGCTTTCACGACCTTTCTAAACATATATGTAAAGCTTAAAACTAAATCGCCCTGTACAACAGTGAAAAGGCGAAACCAACATGGTGGAGCCATATGGCTCCACCATGCTGGTATCGCCTTTTTGCTGGTATAGGATGTCCCATATTACGTTATGCATGTATGGTTCCGTCCACCTCCATGGTTCCGCCTTAATCCACTACGCTGGTATAGGATGTCCCATAATACGACACGCTTGTATGGTTCCGCCCACCTGTATCGTTCCGCCTTATTCCACTATACTGGAGCCGCCTTTTTCGCTTGTATAGGATGTCCCATATTACGGTTACGCTTGTATGAGCCTTTTCCGTCATCTTTCCATCATCAATATTTTCCAACAGGGTTATGCGGGTAAATATGGTAAAAAAGTGAATGATGACTCAAACAAATGCTAAACTCATACATTGGAATTTGAAAAAAATCACCAACCATATCCTACAACAAGGTCCCAACGTTTCAAAAACAGCTTGTTTTTTTCTTCAGGGGTGACTGCTTCCAGATAGGGGACAACGGCTTCGTTTTCTTCTACGATAGTCTCTTTTTTTTTCACTTCGTTAGGTGGCTGAGTCCGTTCACGTAGCATGATGGCAATGTGCCAGTGGACCTATTGATGTTTCCTGGTGTTGTTTGGATATGCCATGACTATAAAAAGCTGATGGCAGAAGTTTGTCTCAACATTTATGAGGGTGTTGGCAGAGTTGATGCGATATTCATTGTCCTCACAGCTCTCTGCAACAGCGCTGCGCTCGTGGTCGAATTTGCAGTTGTTTTTGTGTTGTTGAATTCTTTCTGGGAAGGTCTTTGTTTTTCCAATGTAGGTGGCATGGAATTGAATATACAATGCCCTGCGCTCTTTGTTTAGAGGGATGACCTTTAATTCGCAGCATCATACGTGAAAGTGTTGATACCGGTTTGTTGGACACCTGAATACTTTCTTTTACCAGCATACATGACAGCGCTTCGCTAGTCCCCTTTATGTAGGGAACACAGATGCGGGTGTGTGGACGGATGTTTTTGAGTTTTTAAGCTTTCTCCCGACCAGGCAGGCCTCTGCCAAAATGTTTACCCTCAAAACTTGCACTGCATGTAGTAATGGCTCTTGGTCTGCGAGAATTTTTGTTTTAGTTTTGTGTTTGTTGAGCATTATTGGGCAAATGACAAAGGCTATGCCACCTCATTATGACCACAGTAAAAAGAGCTATACACTTGATAACATAGTCCTGTCATGTTATTGCTTTGAAAAAAATGTTAACACACAAGATTAATCTATTTCTTGACCCCGTGACTGGGGACCCATGACCAAAAAAAAATTTTTTTGTCCCTATTTTGCCTATATTTTTTTGTACGAAACTTTTCTTGTGCTACCATCATAGCTTTAATTTCTAAAGGAAAATTATTTCCGATGTTAGGGGATAGATGGTGCTTCCTCCCGTACGATAAAAAGAGTGAGCGTTTAAAGACGCACTCCCCAAACTGATTGAAGAGGGGTGCATCTATGAGTGCGCCCCGCAGGCTGCTGTTAAAATTGCTAAGCATCCAAAGATCTTATCAAAAGTAATAGATAAATCTTTGTCTAAGGTGAAGTGAATATTTACATTAAATTCAAGTAATGACGCAATAACCACATGGCAGTGCCCACAAGCTGCATGCGCATGAACGAATTTCACCATCCAAATGGATGAATGACCGTTTTGGCAGAACTGGACAATGAGGAAAAGGGTACCAATACTTGAGTGTAGCTTTCTAGGGGCTATCATCATTTTAAATTGCAATTCTCATTTGCTCTTTCAGCTCGCACCTTCACGGAGTACAGCAATGTGGGGAAGCAAGTCGAGGACAGCCTCTCTCGATTTCTGTCCCGGGGGCGCTATGCTCTTCCAGGTAAGCTGCTTCCCTCTCTTAAAGGGCAACTCCGCTTCGTTTTCGATGCTGAAAAAACAACGCAGTTCTCTTTAGTATCACCTAGAAAGACTACACGTCAAGTATTACGACGTAATTAAGCCTAAAAGTTTGTTAAACTGGTAAACAAAGTTTGAGATGCCTCAAGTCTCCGAAATCTGCTAATTCTAGCGGCCGATGTGCGGCGCAGAGAACAGCGCAGTCAATACCGCGTGTGGGGGCAGCCAACACTGCGCCGCACGTCATAGTCTGGGACCGCTTTTTTTCTTGTTTTTTACTTTATTGAGGCGCAGCCTACAGGCGGCGCCAGCAGCGTGCATACCGATGTCCACGTGATCCAAAACGCGCATGCGCTGATGAGTGTCTGAGCGAGCGCTCCGCGCTCGTCGTCGGGAAGACCGAACCTGCTGCGTCTCGGAGCAACGTTTTGTGCTGCGATGCCTGGCATATTACGAGTGGTTTACTTAACTTCAACTACTAATGGTTCCAAAACATAACTTTTAAACAACTTGCCTTTTTCTGCGTCAAAACACTGCGGCCGCGGTAGTGCACACGTCGTTGGATAGCAGAGACCGTGGAGCAGACGACACGGCGCTACGACGCTTGTTCCGCCGATCCGTCCGTCCGCGCAGTCGGCGAGGTCGTGCGGTGACGTTCGTACCACGTGGGTTGACCCAGACTATGACGACGCGGGGCCAATGTTGCCAGGCGCGGGCGCAGTTTCGGTTTCGGTTCGTGATCAGGAGTAAAGAAGGATTACGAAAATTATATTTCCTTTTTTGAGAAACAAACGACGTCGAGCCGTTTATTAGTATACCTTAGTGTATAATCACCAAAAACCCCGAAATTCCTGGAATTGAGCGGAGTTGTCCTTTAAGAGACACGAGTAGACCCTTTTATTCAAGACAAGAATGACAATAATAATCACATCAAATAAAATGGGGAACAAGGGGACAAAGGAGATTCCTCTTTGACCTTTCTCCCCCTTGTACCCCTTTTCCAGGGATTATTATTGTATTCATACTTATTACATTATTGTGGAGTTGACATTTTGACAACCTGTGGTTGGCTGATGTGTTGTGGAAGTTAAAGCTATTGCACATTCAAACATTGTGTGAAATACAGTAGAACCCTGCTGCTGCATCTTTATGCAGTCACAATAAAGGATCATGACATGAGCAAAGATGTAACAACTGATAATGCCCTTGGGATAGCTATAGATGTTTCAGGAAGCTGTATTCTCTGTTTATCTTACCTTAGCTTTTGTGGCTGTAAAAAAGATTGCCTTATTTTATATGTTGACAATTTTTTCAACACTTCTTAAAATTGTGGTTGAACTATAAGTAACACACTGTTTACAGACAAGCTTGTGTTTGCCCACAGCAGCTATGGGCACTGCATACGCAGGAACTAGATTCGTGTGAGCAGACATGTGTGTACATGTGCTGTGCCGACAGCCGCGCCATCGCAGTGATGCATTGTCTATCGTTGCAGTTAAAAAAATATTGAAATATAAGGATGCAAAAATTCTGAGCCCATCGAGCTAAACCACGGCTGCCTCAAACAAATCACTGCACCCTGCATGCCACATCAAAGCAGTGGGGCTTGATGCAATCAGCACTGCTTGAACATGGTGGCATGGAGGTGGTAAAGCAAAATGGGGTGTCGTGAGAGCCTGAATCTCTTATTGTCATACAGGACCAAGCAAGAAACACAGTGCAGAGAGGCAAGGAGGTAAAATAAAGGGAGTAAAACAAAAGGAACAGGGTATGTGTTCCTAGTAGTCATGCCAGCCACCTTGAGTGGCAGTGTTTGGGCATAAGAACCAAGAAGGAAATTCATGAAGCCTGTAATTCTAACACATATATACTTTTGGACGTTCAATAGGACCGGTTTCCGTGAACATAACAGCCGAGAAAACATCTGAGCAAGGTTCTTCTGTGCATATTTTTGAATGTGCTGCAAGAATATTTCTGGTTATATGCCCACTTAATTTATAATGTTTTTCTTCTTTCAGCTGATACCTTACAGACATGTCAGGAAGCAAGGAAAGGTTATTTTTTCACTTATCGTTTACATTTGGGTGATTAACTTAGTCTTGAAAAAAAACACGTCATTTTAATGACATTGTGATAAATAAATTTTGGGTCTTTAAATTGTCCTTCAATCTTTGTTTTCTTCCCATATTGCAAGCCGGCACTATGTGTATCAGGCATGGAATCAATGGTAGGCCATGTAAACTATTGCAGTTTTTCGGCTGGCCAGCTTAAAGTTTACGAGGGGTTGACTATGGCGAAATGGTCACGAAATTCGATCAAATGACGTCTATGTGATAATTATGCCCTTATAAAAATGGTTGATGCCATTTTGTATTATTGCCAAATGGCAACAGGTGTTTAAGAGCAGTCAATCAGCAGGCAACAGATGTTAATCGTCATTGAGATGTCATCTTGTTGACCCGGATAGCCATTTCGCCACCGTCAACTTTTTGCCGTTCTATTGGTTATTGTCAGTGCATTGCCAGTGTATCTACATGCTAATGCTAATTGGCTATTGGAGGCAGTCAAAAGACTATAAAATGTATAGTCCTTTGATTGCCTCCTTTAGCCATTTAACGTTAACATGTAGATACACTGATGATACACCGACAATAACCAATAGAACGGCAAAAAGTTGACGGTGGCGAAATGGCTATCCGGGTCAGCAGGGTGACGTCTCAATGACGATTAACATCTGTTGCCTGCTGATTGACTATTTGTAAACAGCTGTTGCCATTTGGCAATAATATGACTTTCAAATGGCATTAACCATTTTCATAGGGGACGGCCCCTTCCAACAAAAGTGCTGGCGATAACCAATTTCCCAACACCCACAACCATCCGCCACCTTCGTGAGTTCCTCGGACTGGTGAACTTCTATCGGCGATTTGCTCCCCAGAGCGCTGCGATTCTGTTGCCCCTCACTTCTCTGCTGAAAGGCACCAAGACACCCTCGTCTCCTGTGCAGTGGACACCGATCGCCGAACAAGCTTTTAGCCGAGCGAAGCTGGAACTCGCAAATGCGACGCTTCTGTCACATCCCCAGCACAACACTCCAACTAACATCATGGTAGACGCCTCCGACGTCGCCGCAGGAGCTGTCTTACAACAACTAATCGGCACTGTCTGGAAGCCAATTGCTTTCTTTTCAAGACAACTGACGTCGGCGGAACAACGTTACAGCACTTTCGGGTGCGAGCTCTTGGCAATATACACTGCAATCCGCCATTTTCGAAATTTTCTCCAAGGAACAGAGTTCTTCTTTCTAACAGACCACAAGCCCCTCACGTATGCTCTGCAAAATGGCACAGACGCTCACTCACCTCGCGAGACACGGCACTTGGCTTATATTGCCGAATATACAACCGCCATCCGCCATGTCAAAGGCATCAACAACCCTGTTGCTGACGCTTTGTCACGGAGCACTCCAATTTCCTGCGGACTGGGTTTCCCTCCTGCTCTCGACTATGATGCAATAAGCGTTGCCCAGCAACAGGACCAAGAGCTTAAACATCTACGCGAATTTCCTGGTCGGCTTGCCTTCGAGGAGATTACTTTATCTTCATCCACCACAGGAGTAGTCTGCGACGTCTCGACCGGAACACCAAGACCATTCATACCTGCTAACTTTCGCAGGCAAGTTTTTGACTCCGTACACGGTTTATCTCATCCCGCTATTCGTGCCACTCAACATCTAATAGCTGAACGCTTCCTCTGGCCCGGAATCAATAAAGATGTCCGAAGCTGGCCTCGAACCTGCATTCACTGCCAAAAATCAAAGGTCGAACGTCACACTTCTGCGCCGCTACAGGCATTTCCAACCACGAAAAAGCGCTTCGACCACATCCACATCGATATAGTGGGACCCCTGCCACTATCTGAGGGTTATCGGTATCTTCTTACATGCATAGATCGGTTCACCCGCTGGCCAGAGGCATTTCCCATTCAAGATATCCAAGCAGACACCGTAGCACGCACTTTAGTTCAAGGATGGGTGTCCCGATTCGGCATCCCATCTACTCTCACAACGGACCGGGGACGTCAATTTGAATCCGCGCTCTTCCGCCAACTCCTATCACTCTTGGGAACAAAACGAATACGAACGACCGCCTACCACCCTTCCGCAAATGGTCTCGTCGAACGTTTTCATCGCTCATTGAAAGTAGCGCTGATGGCACAATCCAACCCAAATAGCTGGAACACAAGCTTACCGATCGTCCTCCTCGGACTTCGGACGGCTTTGAAACGACACCTCGGCTACAGTCCAGCCGAGTTGGTATATGGCTCTACCCTTCACCTACCCGGAGAATTTTTCACATCTGGTATGGAAGAGCCCGCTCCTGATCCTATGGCATATGCCAATCAGCTGCGAACGATAATGCGAAATCTCCGACCCACATCACCCCGTAAGCAAGCACGAGCTCCAGTATACGTATCTAACGACCTTGACACATGCAGCCACGTATTTCTACGCAGGGGCGGCTCTAAAAGATCGCTTCAAGAACCATACACCGGCCCGCATAAGGTACTTACAAGAGAAGCCAAGACTTTTACAATTGACTACAATGGACGCCAAGAAACCGTTTCCATTGACCGCCTAAAACCCGCTCATCAGGAACCGCTTAGTAATTCAAACCATGCCATTCATACTTCCACCATACCCGCTCGACCAACCACGGATCTCACCTGCCTCACCTCACACCGGTTCCCTCGACCTGATCAGAACCATACAGAACACCTCCAATGCACACGAGCACCTCAAGAATCCAACAGACCCAGCTCTGCTTATTCTGAAAACAACCGCAGAGACTGCGGTCAGTTTGGATCAAGACTATCAAACTCTCCGTCACACACGACAACCATTATTCGCCGCAACCAAACAAACACAGACGATTCTCTCCAAGCTCCAACTCGCCAAGTGACGTGGGGTTTACCGTTATCGTACGGTCATGCTCGGAACGCAGGAGAGAGAGAGGGGAGGGAGAGTATTGTAGGGCGCCGAGTGCCAAGAAGAGAAGAGGAGCGCAAGGTCGGGGAGCGCGCGACACTGGACAGAGCGTGCAGCACGGCCGACGATCTCGGTGGGGTACCAAAGCAACGCCTCCGAACATATCGCTCATACCGTTAGATATTGCAAAGTGTAAATAGTGTAAATAAATGTGTAGGACTTACACTTGGTCCCTACAGTGTGTCCTCAGAAAGCGCGCTGTGTTCGGAGGTCTGATATCACCGGGGCCACAGCCGACGCCACGATCCGAGTGAGCCAATGAAACGGTGAAAAAAAAAAGCGTCCTCAGAGAGCGCGCCGTTTTCGGCGGTCTGCTCTCACCGGGGTCACAGCCGACGCCACGATGCGAGTGAGCCAATGAAACGGTGCCAAAAGTGTGTCCTCAGAAAGCACGCTGTCTTCGGAGGTCTGCTATCACCGGGGCCACAGCCGACGCCACGATCCGAGTGAGCCAATGAAACGGTGAAAAAAAAGCGTCCTCAGAGAGCACGCTGTCTTCAGAGGTCTGCTATCACCGGGGCCACAGCCGACGCCACGATCCGAGTGAGCCAATGAAACGGTGAAAAAAAAGCGTCCTCAGAGAGCGCGCCGTTTTCGGCGGTCTGCTCTCACCGGGGCCACAGCCGACGCCACGATCCGAGTGAGCCAATGAAACGGTGCCAAAGGTGCGTCCTCAGAGACCGTGCTGTATTCGGAGGTCTGCTATCACCGGGACCACAGCCGACGCCACGATCCGAGTGAGCCAATGAAACGGTGCCAAAAGTGCGTCCTCAGAGAGCGCGCCGTCTTCGGAGGTTTGTTATCACCGGGGCCACAGCCGACACCACGATCCGAGTGAGACAATAAAACGGTGCTAAAAGTGTGTCCTCAGAAAGCGCGCTCTCTTCGGAGTTCTGCTATAACCGGGGCCACAGCCGACGCCACGATCCGAGTGAGCCAATGAAACGGTGCCAAAAGTGCGTCCTCAGAGAGCGCGCTGTCTTCGGAGGTCTGCTATCACCGGGGCCACAGCCGACGCCACGATCCGAGTGAGCCAATGAAACGGTGCCAAAATTGTGTCCTCAGAAAGCGCGCTCTCTTCGGAGGTCTGCTATCACCGGGGCCACAGCCGACGCCACGATCCGAGTGAGCCAATGAAACGGTGAAAAAAAAACGTCGTCAGAGAGCGCACCGTTTTCGGAGGTCTGCTATCACCGGGGCCACAGCCGACGCCACGTTCCGAGTGAGCCAATGAAACGGTGCCAAAAGTGTGTCCTCAGAAAGCGCGCTGTCTTCGGAGGTCTGCTATCACCGGGGCCACAGCCGACGCCACGATCCGAGTGAGCCAATGAAACGGTGCCAAAAGTGCGTCCTCAGAGAGCGCGCCGTTTTCGGAGGTCTGCTATCACCGGGGCCACAGCCGACGCCACGATCCGAGTGAGCCAATGAAACGGTGCCAAAAGTGCGTCCTCAGAGAGCGCGCCGTTTTTGGAGGTCTGCTATGACCGGGGCCACAGCCGACGCCACGATCCGAGTGAGCCAATGAAACGGTGCCAAAAGTGCGTTCTCAGAGAGCGCGCTGTCTTCGGAGGTCTGCTATCACCGGGGCCACAGCCGGCGCCACGATCCGAGTGAGCCAATGAAACGGTGCCAAAAGTGCGTTCTCAGAGAGCGCGCCGTTTTCGGAGGTCTGCTATCACCGGGGCCAGAGCCGACGCCACGATCCGAGTGAGCCAATGAAACGGTGCCAAAAGTGCGTCCTCAGAGAGCGCGCCGTTATCGGAGGTCTGCTATCACCGGGGCCACAGCCGACGCCACGATCCGAGTGAGCCAATGAAACGGTGCCAAAAGTGCGTTCTCAGAGAGTGCGCCGTTTTCGGAGGTCTGCTATCACCGGGGCCACAGCCGACGCCACGATCCGAGTGAGCCAATGAAACGGTGCCAAAAGTGCGTCCTCAGAGAGCGCGCCGTTTTCGGAGGTCTGCT